GTTTGTGCGTGTTTGTGTGTCGGTGTGTATGTGTGTTTGACTGTGCGTGTATGTAAGTGTGTGTGTGTGTGTGTGTGTGTGTATGTGTGTGTGTATATGTGTGCGTGTGTGTGTGTTTGCGTGTGGGTTGGTGGGTGTGTCTGTGTCTGTGTGTGTATATCTGTATATATATATATATATATATATATATATATATACGTGTATGTGTGTGTGAGAGAGAGTGTGTGTGTGTGTATTTTCATATATATGTGTGTGTGTGTGTGTGTGCGTGTGTATGTGGATAAAGTATTACATATTATCAGTTAAGCATTAAGCATAATAGTTTATTTATTGTAAGAGAATATACATTTGATGTTCCAATTTTTAATACTAATCACATACACCTTTCTGAAATACCAATGTACTCACGTGTATACGCATCTGTACGCATGTATAAATATCTGTACATATACGTGCATCGAATGCGCGCTTGACCCATGGACACATCCAATATTGCATAACTATACTATTCTTGCGCACTCGAGTGTAATAATCTTTCGAGTGTAATAATCTTGTTAATAAATATACCTCAGCGTTCTTTATGATATGTGTACTAGAAAGCATGGTTAAATGACATATTTTGACGCGACCAGAACGAGACGCAGTGTATATACGCATAAATGCAGAAATAAGAAGATATAACCATAAGATTCGCGACATGTATACAAGGTTGAATCTTGACCTAACCCACATACCACTTTTGTTTGTACCGTCGTATTTTCGGGAGATGTTGTCTTCACATCCCCATTTACTGCCTTCTTCACTGAGGCTATATCAGTCTTCTCGACCCCGCTCACAACATTCCCACTCAAGCTCATTTTGGTGCGCTTTGTATCAACTGCTTTCGACTGTGTACCACCTGCTATCTGTGATACGAGCCTTTTTTTACTGCCCATACTCGGCTGTAACTTCAGTTGTGTTCCAGGTTGTATCCTGTTTTGTGGTTTATGTTTGGTGGCTTCCAGTGCTATCTGTGCCGCAGACTTTATAGTGGGGATTTTAACCCCGGGTTTCTTCTTGGCCACTCTGTTTCTCACACCCATCCTTTCTTATAGTAGTACTCGTAATGTTCTCTATATAGTACATACAGTATTGCGATGATCCACTCGCAGTATCAGACTTGTTCAGTATATACAATACAATGTGTTATTGTTTAGGTGTCCGTATCAGTGTAGCGAATACTGAATAGTTACGTCATTCCCAAATATTATAGACGCTTTCGCTTAGACTTTAAACTCTAACCCTACAAAATTAGGGTTAGTGCCATATGTCTCCTTTGATTTGTTTTAAATTCCCCTCTGATTTTTTACTTGTACTATATATATAATACATATACCTCTACTGGATATGAATTGAAGAATATAATACAAGATCATAATAAACGACGTAAAATTGTCGAGAACATGATATCTGGTCGCACGTGCAATTTCACATGTACATGAATATGCAGTAGAGTTGTAGTCGAACACACAAGCGATTAAAATGGTATACTACATTGAGCCTACTCAATTAGAAGTTTTTCATACGCTGTGGACGGTTATTACGTGAGTTAAGGTCAGTGCTTATTGTTTGTGTTCATTGGACAGTATGTGTGCAGCCAAACGCAAACGTTCCGTTATTAAGGTCGATAAGAATCGGCATCGCATCAAAGCTCGCGAGGACCAAGCCAAACTAGAGGCCGAAGAAGCCGCTCTGAAAGCGAGCAAGAAGAACAATAGTGGTAGTAATAGTAAGGCAACTAAGAAGGCCTTCAAAGAGACTGATAATGCCAGGGAAGTGTTAGAGGTGGTCGCTGATGAGGGTGACGACAATCACGCAGATGTGCATGAGGACAACAAGGAGGGCGACGAGGAGCGTACAGATGCAGACAGAGAACTCATTGAGACCTTCCACGTGGTGCAGAAGCAGATCTCACAGATCGAGAATACTGTACTGTACAATGTAAGTGCGACAGAAAAAGAGAAAGATGAAGCCAAGCACAAAGTCAAGGGACTGCAAAACCAGTTAAAGGACTTGGGAGGACTTGCTGCGTATCAGAAAGCAAGCGTGTTGGGTGAAGCGGCCGGCGGAGGGTTTGATAGCTCGCGATTTGTACTACAGGAATTAGTGGAGATACTCAAACTCAAGAACAAACGAAGTGATGGTAATGTGTTTTTGCCAGAAGCTAAGTTGTTGGATGTAGGGGCGATCATACACAGATACACCAGGAACGATGTGGCGCGCGTGGGTACGAAATTGGATGCATTGAGTATAGATCTAGAGACGAATTTGGCGGACAAGAAGGTGAGAAAGGTTGATTTCTTTGATTTTGCACCTCTTTGTCTAAGAGGAGAGGCCAATACTGCAGACGCAGACGCTACTCAGGCAGGTGCACAGAAGCGCAAAGCAGATGGTGACAAGGATCGTAGTGTAAAACCACACTGTTTCGATATAGTGGTATTATCGCTTGTGCTCAATTTTGTGCCAGACCCTCGTAAGCGTGCGGAGATGTTATTGCTCACGCGCGAGTTACTGTCAGCGTCATCTCTGGGAATTATGTTCCTAGTCTTACCCAGTGCTTGTGTGGACAACAGTCGTTATCTGAGTGAGGAGTTGTTCAAAGATATTGTGGAGGCGTGTGGGTTTAAGATCCGATCGTCTCGCCATTCCAAAAATGGGAAGTTGTTCTTCGCAGTATGCCAAATCGCAGAGCTGTACAAAGCTGAGCGAAAGGTAGATAAAGCAGAAAAACGCTTGCTGAAGGAAGTACGTTATGTGGAGAATGCATCTATTAAGGGTGAAGAATTGCTGGATGGAGAGGATGACGATGAAGACAATGTACTGGGTAGTGACGGCGAGTATGAGAACGAAGAGGGTGATGCCCAGGATAGCGATAGCGACAGTGACGGTGAGGATGCGAAGAGAGTGATCAAGTACCCTAGACGAGAGGTTAACCGAACACGCACCAAGTACGACAATGGATCGTACAACAATTTCTGTATCATTGTCAAGCGTCGAGGCAAGCAGTTGCACACTGGGGTAGCCGGGGCTAAAGGCAAAGGTTCTGTTCACAATGAGCAAGGGGTGAAAAGGGTAAAGCTGACGGCACGTGAGCAACGCAAGACGAAAGTACACGCACCCCCTACTGAGAAAGATGTGGAGGAGAGAGGTGTCCTGACCAGTAATATGCGCAAGAAGAATCGCAAGCATAAAAAGTATGAGGCTAGACAGGCGGCTAGGGAGGAGCGCGAGGCGAACAAAGCGTCCAAGGAGGCCCATAAAGCGCGGACGAAGAAGAGAGAGGCGGGATTGCGTGATTAGTTTTGTATTAAATATAATGATTTTTTTCCTGTGGCGTGGATGTAATAACAGGACTAAAAAAATCATGCCTGTTTTTTAATACTCAGCTTTGCTTTAGTGTTTGACATATACATTTTTGGATTTGTTCCTCTATGTGTATTTGTATATATATAAATGTGTGTGGTGTATAGGTATAAAAGTGTGTGCTTATATATATATATGGTGTATGTTTGTATATCTTTATATATGTGTAGATGCATGAATAGATTTTTTTGTTTGTTTGTGTATTTACAATGTATGTATATCTTTATATATGTGCATGTTTTCCTACATAAGTATGTTTATGTGTATATATATAATTTTTATTTATATTTATATTTATATATACACTGGCATAAATGATAGCACGTTCAGAGGCACATGCAAAAGTCTCGATAGTGGAACCTTTGAAAAATTATTAAAAAAACTTCTAATGAATTTTAATATTTTCGTTTCTATCGTATTACTGAGTCATTCACTTCGACTCCCTTACCAGTCAGCTGCCTGTCTTTACTGGTGTGTTGTAATCTGCAATCCCTTGCTGAACGTTCTAGACTATTTCGTGAGTAGAATCTTCCATGTGCAATGTGACCTCCTTTTGGGTCATAACTGTGGCTTCGTTTTTGCCATTCGTATGTTGTTCTAGGTTGCCATAACTCCTTTTATCAGCTTGTTAATCACGGTCTTCTCGGTAGATACTCAAGATCATGAAATTAATGGAATTGGAAAAGAGTATTTGGTTCCTTATTTCCATCCTGCCTGGAGCTCAAGGACGTGTTGCGTAGAATGTCGCTTAGTTTAACCTCCTCCCCGCGATCATTGTGAATGGGACATCCTGAGATTCGTGTGGTCGCGATCTTCCTGATAAACGTTTTTGTCTCTCCATTTGTATTGGATTATCTATCGCTTGTGTTGGAATATGAGCGAACGAGGGCATTAGACGAAGTTGTTGGGTCAAGCTCATTGCTTCTATGGCATAGACCAGATGTGGTGCGTGCGAGTGACATCGATCTATACCGAAGGTCCTGTAACCTATTTCTACGTGCGAATGGTAGGGATGAAAGCCACACATGTGGACTGGCTTCGTCTTCCGATTGGGGTTGTGGATGTGAAATTTCAGTATCATCTTCTTCCTCGTCTTCTTCGATTAATTCTGTCGAGTTGACTCTTTCTGTAGGGTTCAAACGGTCGTTGGTATGTAGCGTAATCGGCGTATAAGTAGGTGTGCTACTCAAGTATGTATCTGTAGAGCTTTCAAGATCACTCAGCGATATATCAATCGAGTTGTTCGACGAATTGCTCTTCTTTGGCTTTAAATTAACGTTTAAGCCTCTCTTTCGCACGTCCACCAATAAGGCTAACCCAATAGGAGACAAGCCCTTCTGCTGTGAGCACTGCGTTGCATCGCTGGCATTTGTGCAATCTTTCTTCAACTCCTCGCAGGGCATTATTTGTTCAACTGCACTAGTATTCTTTATCAAGTCCGTACGACCCTTTTTACTATGTGGTCTATGAGTACTAACATATCTTTTTGCTGTATTGAAGTAGTGTGAGGGCAATAGGTGGCTTTCTTTTACTATGGACTTTTCTGATGTGGGTATATCGGTGGCCGTTTGGGAGACTGCATCTGTGGCTCCTGAACGTATCCTTGACCTTTCAATGTACCTTAACATGGTTTTTAACTACCTGTTTTTCATCTGCTTGTCAGCGTGTACCGATCGAGGTAGCACATTCACTTATTCACTTTCATATGATCGGCGTTGATCTACTACATGATAAGCTAAATCAATCTCTTTAAGTACACGTCACTTTTGAATGGTACCTTTGCCTCTACATAGTTAAATTATTCAAGCTACTCGGGCGGTTTGGTTGTACTACTTTAGGGTTTTCGTCTCTGAACCCGGAATGCTATAAATTTGGCCCCTGGCCTTGGTCTGATATACTAGGACCACAAAGAGTACGTCCATAAAACACAATACAAAGAAGTATTGTACGTTTATAAATCCATACTTGCGTGTTTACTGTTTCCGTATAAGACGTCGACATAGGGTCAGAAAAAGGTATAAACCGTACTATACGTGTATAAACCTTACTATACGTAGAACAGAATTTGAAGTCCGAAATGCACCAAAGGTCCGAAAGTTAAGGAAGGAGGTGGAATGGGTTCTCTAAAACAAAGTAACACATCCGAATTCCGAAGTTCCAAACCGCCTTCTTCTCAGATATTGTTTTAAAAAAATCCTTTTTTTAGAAAAGAGTAGATGTTATTATCTTCGGTCAGAACTCAGAAGACTGGAATGACAAGTTCTACTGTTCTACCTGCTATCGGCGATCACGGCAATCTGGGTTAAAAAAAATCGCTGTATTTTTAAAAATTAAACTGAACCACTGCACAGTGCACAGTGCGTATTTAGTGCATTTTTAAATATGTACTAATAAATAGTAAAGTGGTTACATACTTTTACTATTTTTAGATTATAGTTTTTTTTTTTTAAATAATAGTTTGTAGAGCGTGTATATATATATAATACTGTGTAAATAGTACTGTGCACAAGTGTACAGTGTACCCTGTATTTACAACACGATTTCCCTTTTTTTTTTTCTCTTTTGACATGTAACCACCAACAAATGAGATTCTTTTTTTTTACAAATATATATATTTGTGTGACTTTTTTTTATCTTTTTTAAAACTACTCTCTATTCACTCTAGTATTTAGTGTAAAAATAATCCTTCATGTCTTCTTCTATCTTCAGACTTCAGTCTTCAGACTTCAGTCTTCAGTCTTCAGTCTTCAGTCTTCATTCTCTTGGCTATTCGTTGTTTTTAAAAGAACACAATCTACGAAATTTTGTTCCTCACAGATTCGATGGAAAAGGGAATATATCCGGCATCTCATTGAAAATTGGATAATTGTAGCTTAATATGTATCCAATAACATCCTGAGAATGATATAACCAACATGTCCTACCTCGCACTTTATATATATATTTATTTTAATAAAATACAATTGTACATACTTACATAATTTTTTATTAAAAAATACCAAATCAGACAGAGGACTCTACAATTCTACTTTGTCTTTGTATTAAGTTTTTACAATAATAATAAAAACCACAACATCATCATGAATATCTTACAAACAACAAATACAAGAATCAACAACAAGATCAAACACAGAGTAAATAGTTAAACATTGTGAAAATCAGAAGATTTCTATCTTTATTTTTCTTAGATTTTATTAAAAGAACAACTAAAGTATTTGTTTTCAAAAATCAAACAAGAAACTAATAATGATTGGCTAATTTCTGATCAAAAGTGAATGAAATTATAGTGAATTGAAATTCTAGAAAAATCGAATATATAGAGTAAATATTTAATAATCTGAGTAAATTTTTATAATAATCTATTGAATGTCACATTCTACAATGTATTTTGTTTTTGTTTTTTTATATTATCTATTTTTATGGTTATGAGTCAAGTTAAAATATTTTAAATAGTATGTAAAATGTTCAAAATATAAACAAAAATGTTTTCAATTGTTGTGCGCTTGTTTGGAGTAAATTAGTGTAAATACGACTTTTCTCGGAGGAAAGAGTATGTAATAGCAAAAACCTCTTTTATTGTGTTGTTTACTACTCAAGTTGTACTCTCAAGTATAACATTCTTGCCTACATTGTACTGCTATTTATACTGCCGCAGCATACTCTTATTTAAAAATTAATTGAATACTTTTAAGTGCCTGAATACTTTGTCATAGATGCAGTAATACTTCCATTTTTAAAATCAACATATATCCTTTGTCACATTCCGACAAATATTTGTCCTACCCTTAGAGTAACTTAAATATGTGACAATTCCTCCAACCATCGGTGTGCGCCATACATACAACAATACATATTTGTAAAAAAAAGAAAAGAGGTTAGTTTTGCTTACATACCCCCTCTGAAATTTAGATACCCTGTACGAATGTCGTATATCTGGGTGCGCCGGTACCGGGTACGGGCTAAAACAATTATGTTGTTTTTTTTTTAAACAATACTTCTTCTAAAATAATGTAATTTTAAGAAAAAACATATGTAAATAAATACAAACATGGTTAAAATTGGATATTTATTGTTAATATTTATTTTTCTTTCTTTTTTCTTAAGTTTTTTGTTTTTAAGAATTTTTGTTTTTCTATATATAGCAACAACAAAAACAAAACATAAACAAAATGCTTGATTTTGATAAATAGCTCACTCAACAACAATGCAAAATCGTCATTTCTGTAGTTAAACTGCCATTGGTCGTACATTCAAAGCAGGAGGACATTCCTGAGATTATAACACGAGTAACTTCCACGAAGGAACCAATAGCGTATTTTTCTGCATTATTTATCTTATAATTTAGCGTATCAACTGACACAAGTTTAATAGTTTATCTAACCCCCTGTAAATGGTACTATTCTTCGGAACGGTACCCCCTTTTTCGAGTACATTCGCCTATATGTACTGAAATAAATCTATTTTCCGAACTAAATCATGGCCTTCTGGCTTCAGTTATTTAGAATGCCATGACCAAATCCCATAGTAAACGCATGTTTTGTGCACCAAAACACATATTCAAGATTTGAACGACATCAAGCATACATGAACAACATAATCAGAACCAAATAAATAAACAAACATTAATACAGGAATAGTTAGTGTGATCGTTGGTATGCAGAGGTGGTGATGGACATATCCATACCCAAAGAATTTAGTTTTCTTCTATATACACTAGATTATGCACAAGCCCAAGTTTCTATGCAACACCAATGGCCCGGTCAATTGGCCGTGTGAACAAACGGCAAAAGGGAAAAATACGAAGGTTGATGCGTGTGGATTGTACTCACGAAGTCCTTTTAGTGCTCGTTATGAGGCATCATGTAATAATAATAGGAGCGATTGCAGCCATCTGATTATGTACAAAGCATAGAAATCACACTGGCGTGAAAGGGAAACATGAGTCAACCCTCACAAAGGTCGCTACAAGAGCTCAAAAACCCGGTCGAGCGTCCTAAGCGTCTTGTTAAATCGAAATAGATCAATTACATTGAGCTTGTTTAACAAAGATAGGCTCATCGTACATATTCAATATAAGCATAGACGTATATGATGATATTCACTTCATGTCATTAAATTGGAAAGGTAGTGTTCTGGAGACATATTATGTCTCACTAAGAGTCCGCCGTATAGCGGTGTATATTTATCTAAAATGTTATTGTATGCTCGTGTATCCCATCCGTCTTATATCACTCATATTTAAATTGGCATACGTGAAAGTTGTGAGATGTCTTATGACGTCATATCCTAAGTATAAGTTTGTTATACCATGGAAGTGGTAATGATTATATTATCTGTGTAAAATTTATATTGATGATTGTATTCGTCCAAAGGATATTAGAGTAAGTGACTTGTATTTGTGTTGTCTAGTTGTCCAGTATCCTGTGTACGTGATTGATGTGAAATGTTCGCCTGTAATTGTGAAAGTATATTCGTGTTTGCGGTTTCTTAAGCATTCAACTATTGTACATCTACTTATGATATGCTTAGAACCTCTAATGTGTACTCGAGTAAAGCATAATATCAATTCGTCTTGAACGTATGCATGTTATATGTTGGTTAATACTGTTAACGTTTATATCAAAGCGTTGAATGTATATTCGAAACCATAAACTTATTGCGGTAAACATTTTTCTTGAAAAAAACTATGAATATATTTGCTTTTTCAAATATATACGTAAACGCATCAGACTAAAATCGTAAAACGCATTAAACTAAATACGTTTATGACAGATAATATATTTCGCGCCTCTTTGCCATCGATCTTTCCCGAACCACTACAACGGCTATGAGAGCCAAACCATATGTTCATACATTATAACATACATACATTGTAACTTATCTTTTTTTGAAATAAATAATATTCGATGCGCCGTGTCCTCAGGGTTGCTCCCCTCTGAGTAAGAATAGACGGGGTGCTCGCCCGCATTCTCAGCATCTGAATAAACAAACATGGTCTATTCTGTCAAATGGGTGCCACGCTCGAAGCTGCGCTTAATAATCGAGCTCACACAAAGTTTAATGCGCCGTGTTCTCAAGGTTGCTCGCCACTGAGTTAGAGTCAGCAGGGTGCTCGCTTGTACTCTAAGCATATAGATATCCTTACCACGCACAGCCACCACTCATTGTTTAATGACTTTCTGTGTCGTATGTTTAAGTCCAAAGTGTTATGCCATGCCTATGCATGTATAGTGTTGAGCTTTGGTATTCGTATCGCATCAAGGACACTATATCACAAAACCATCCTATCACTAGGATGTATTAATGTTTTCTTAACGTGATCTTGTAAGTACGCATATATATCTAGGCGCTACAGTATCTGTTATGAATATGTATACTTCAGGATCTATGTAAGTTTAATTTATTAATAATAATGTTCGAGTGTGTATCCTTTCATGCATTCGTCACTCTTGCATGCAG